GTGAGACCCCCGCCGCCCGGTTCGCTGCAGGCAGGTGTCAAATCCGGAGCTGCTGGGGTGCGAAGCCACCGCACGCAGAGTCTCAAAACCAAGGAGACGTGACTGCTTAAAAGTCTAAAAGCGGGGAGGTTTTCTCACTTGTTTTTTTGGGTTTTTTTTTGTTTAATTTGAGTTTTTTTCTGCAATCTGTTCCGCGCTCAAAGCCAGATCATCCGGATGCAAAGCGGCATCACAGCATCTCCGTCCTCCTGCAGGATCTGACGAAGCCAAGCGGGAAAGGGATCGCGTGGAATTTGGGATGGGGTGGGGAGAAAAGGATGCTCAGAGTCACGTCCGAGCTGAGGCAAAGCTGGGTCTAAGAGCAGGAAAGGAGGAGGGCTGAGCTTTTGTTTATCGCTCCCATCCAGTGCTGAGAGAAACAGTTTTAAGCAGCATGAATGAAATTGCAACGCAGCAGGTTTCACGGGGATGCTGCCTCGGTCATCCGAGAGTTTCATGGGAAAGCGAAACGAAAAATCGGCGCGCGGCTTAAAAAGAAGAGCTGAAGGGAAAGGAAAAATAGCGCAGGCAGCATCTCGGGCCTCCTCTGCAAACCCAAAACACATGCAGAACTGCGAGGGACGGAGATGTCGGTCTGTCTGCCTCGAGGAAGTCATCGCTCCATGGCTCTTCCTGACCCGGGGGGTTAGCCGGAGCCTTGTCGTCCCGGTCCGGCTGCCGGCACCTATTTTCTGAGCCGGCCCAAACCCCTGTTTTTTAACACAAAGTCCCCTCCTAAAGCCGAACGACTCGTGCGAGGGCGGACAGGGTTTCCCCCGGGTTCTCTTTCTGCCACTTTTCCACGGCAAGCAGGCAGGGAAGCGTTCCTGCCCGCAGGCTGCCTGCATCTACCTCGCCCTGGGTGGGGACGCGTGCCTGCGTTTGGGGTGGAAGCTGCTTTTGCTTCAGCCCTCTGCCTCCGAAAAAGGAACGTTAACTGTTTCTTTTATTTGCCCTGAAGGAAAGGTGGTTCAGGCACGGGGTTTATCCCAACCTGTAACACTATCGTGACCCGCTTCCAATTAGAAATCGCAGCAATTATGCAGATTATTTAGCAGCAGGATTAGCGTAGCTGTTTCTGCAGGACGGATGAGGCGGACCGGGAGCGGTGTCCTCCACGGAGGAGTTTTCTTCACGGGTTTTTCGGCCACCGTGAAGCGCTCCCCTCATTCCCGCCATACGTTTCTATTGCTGCCCTATATATTTGCAGGGCAAAGAATTAACTCCTTTTATTCAGGGATCTGCAAGTTCTTCGCAAGCCTTAATTTAAGCCTCTAGACAAGGCTGAGAGGCAAATCTGCCGTCTCAGCAGTTTCTTGCTGCTCACCGAGACTGACGCTACGATGCCAACCAGCCGACCTGGGCGCTATCAGGCGACCCGGCATAAATTCCGGCTCTAGAAAAGCCGCGTTACCTCTTTTCTGCTGAATTATCAGAGCTTACGCCTTGCGGCAAGTGCCAGGAGAAGCCAGACGCTACCTGCCAACGTTTCCGGAGCGGCTTAAGGCTGCAAACCAGATTTGTAACAGATGAACACTCTTATCAAGGACACGGTGTTTCGGCCTGCTACGAGGAACCTTATTGTCAGATTTTCTGCATTGCCAAGTCACGGAGGAAGGATAAGCAACTGCAACCACAAAAGATATCCACGGCAGAGCCAAGAGGACAGCCCCAAGGTCAAGTTGCAACTGCCAGAACACATATTTCTCTGTAATATAAAGGAGAAACAACATTCCCTACAAAACTCATGGAAACCAAGAGGCACCTCTTCAATAAGCTTCAAGAACACGAGCTCACGCCACAAAGGCTTCGCTGGCAAAACGCTCACGTGAGGCTCCTTCTGACTTCATCCCCTGAAGCTCTGAATTCCCGGCTCTCTAGTAATGGAAAAGCCAGGAATGAGAAAGTTCAGAGGTTTCTATTTGTGGGGAATAGATAAGGAAAGCAAACATACCCCAATAACCTTTTCCCTCGTGCGCAGCAGTCTGAAGGTTGCCCCCATAGGCAGGATGCACGTTCTGTACCGAAGGCCTTAAATTTGACTGGGTCTGGTTAAAAATAAACTCTCGGGGTCAGCAACGCTCCGATACAGCGACGTGTTGGACAGCCCCAGTTTGCTCCCGCTCCCCTCGGGACTGGGATCCAAGGAAAGGCTGGACTGGGGGAGGGGGGGAGCCCTGGTCGGTCTGGCCCACGGGGTCAGAGGATTTCCCAATTTTTTCATGCCAGTTGGTTAATTTTCAAGCCGAAAAGGACCGTCACAGGCAAAGTTTGACTTCACTCTCTTGGGAAACACCCAACCCAGCTTTCTGCGAGGGCCCAGCCTGCCGATTTCCTGACTGGAGCACCCAGCTGGACAGGCGTCAGTTTGGTTCACAGCTGACGTCTGCATCCCTACCCAGTCAATAGATACAAAAGGGCAAAGGCTAAGCTGCTTTCAGTCCATTTTTTCCCCATTTCTGATAAAAAATGGCATGCAGACGCAATGATTTAGCAACGATGTTAGGTGCAACCCCCTTCCAGAACAGCTACAAGAGGCAATTCTTCAGGGACAGAACGAAAAGCTCTTTTTTTATTAAGTTCCTTGGAAGGGAAATGCTTTTTGGACAGTGACTCCCGCTGCAAAGGTGAAGCCGGCACAGCTACAGACCAGGTTTTGGAGAGTAGGGATGTCCCCACACCGACAGGCTGGAAGGGGCCGGTTTTATCCCCATCACCAGGAACTGCACAGCTCTTTCCTCTCTAGCAGCTCTTCAGGGAACCTCCGGACCTGAAATACTTTGGCCATTCCTTCTGCAGCCTCCTCAGAAAGGAGTGCAGGAGAAATACCAGGGGGGCGAGCGGCTTAGTGGAACGTTACTCTGCGAGATACCGCAGTTTTCCCACACTAAAGCGGCGTGTTCTTGGCTTCGGTTTCTGAAAATCTGCAGTGACGTGCCACGTTTCAGTTTGGCACCAGCTGGAAGACAACCGTTTCAGATGAAGGGCATGCTGTAGGTATGCACGCCATCTCAACTCAGCTTCCTGTTGTTTTTTAATCTTCAAATCATCGTGGCGGAGGGGCAAAGAAACACAATTTATGTGCCAAACCATCAGCTCTGTGTTGGCAAGTCCCGTTCTTCGAGAATCCTTTTCACGCTCTCCACAATAGTCCACACTTCTGCCATGGCACCTCGACCTGCGGGACAAGACCAAAACCGCACGGTGAAATCCAGATCCCACGGAGATGGCACGAGGCACGCGCTTCCCCTGTCCCACCTCCTCGCTTCTCCATGGAAAATGAGATGTACAACGGTGGTACGGCACTGCGAAGCTCCCCAAGGATCCCCACGTCTTTCCTCGTGACTCGCCCAACGGAAAACAACTGCGGAGCTTGGAGGAGCTGCTCAGTCCACCTGGTTCCGCAGGGGTTTTGTGGCGTGGCTGAATGCCATCAGGGAGGAGAGCGAGAAGAGCGTTCGCACTCGCTTAGCTTGGCTCGTAACTCAGAAGTCTACGCAGGGAGCACAAGCTCCTTAGTCAAATGGAGAGAGGCAGGAAACCTCAAAAGGCAACTCGTATGACCTAAGCAAGCACCTCACGTACTGAATCATCTCCAGAGGTGTCTAACCCTGACGTCTAACCCTTGACTGCACAGGGAGTTACTATCTCAGCTCACACTGCCCTGGGGGCCAGTGTGGAACAGTGCCCCAAAAAGCGCGTGGGTAGTAAAATACCCTATTGCACCTCCTTTCTCCAGCGTAAACACTGTGGGTGTTCAGTGTCTTTTTGAAATGGCCTTTGCCTATAAAAAAAAAAAAAGACTTGCCGAATTCACACCATGCCCATGACTCTGCAGATAGACCCACGTTAGAGAAAGTTGCCCTGGACTCACACCAGCTTGAATCTGGGGAGTAATTCTTGGAGAAGACCGAGTGCTGGACAGAACAAAATTTAAAAGCTTTTCTTTTTGGACTGGTTAGTTGCCAGAAGAACATGTGATCTACACGGTGCTGTGGCTTTCCTCTGAAATACTTTAACCTTAAAATTCTGAACCTAAGTTTAAAGAGAAAAAAACCCAGCGGCCTCTAAAGGACAGCAACAACGAGAGACAGAGGGGAAGGGGAAAGGCCATCCTGACCAGCAGGGAGAGGTGCTCTCCGTGGGCAGAGCACAGCTCTGAATCTGCCCAGACCCTCAGTTTTCCAGTACAGATGAGCCACTTGAGCCTTGTCTGGGTGGATGTATATAACTGGATATAACTGAGGATTTGCCTTGAAGAACGATACTTTTGGAAGGTCAAAAAAACCTGGGTTTCCCCGCAAAGTAAAGCTCGTTCTCCACTACGCCTTTTTCAGGCCTGTAAATCCCAGGAGTCTGAAGCATCTTACGGACAAGCCGCAGGCAGATTTGGGCCCTTCTGACCACCTAACCTCAAGGAGAGGAGCTGCAGCTGACAGGTCCTGCTAAACAAGAGAAATTCCCCGACTGCTTCGGCACGGTTTGGCAGCGCTACACCCTTCGAGAACATTTCCAAGGCCTGCCTTTGTCCTCCACCACCCAACTTCCTCAACATCTCTGGCAATTCACAGCTGGATTTTTAGGTTTAGCAGAGCAAAATCTTGCTAAGCAGCCTGTCTTACAGAACAGCTCATATCTACGGGTAGAAATCTTCCAGTGTGCCAGGCTCTAGAAATCCAGCCAAGGATGATGAAGATACTAGCAGTTTGGAAACGTTTTCACAAAGGGAAATTGCTGTGGGGCCACGTGTGGTACAGTGCCTCTCAAAGCTCTCTTTATGTCATGGCACATGGATATCATCAAGGCCAACAGCCGGTAGCCTATATGTAACTATCCAATCAGGGAAACATTTTAATTGTCAACTCAATTTAATTTGTTATTTCAACTCTCTTTTAGCTGTACTCTATGTCTAAAAAACACACATTTACTAAGGAAGAAAAATTAATCAGGTAAAGCTTGTAATGCAGAAATACAACGGCAGTCAGGATCCGGCCCACTTCAGGTGAGACCAGCCACACGAGTGGAGGAAGATAAACCTCTTTTACAGCAAGACAAACCACAATTTCAACAGACAAAACTGGTGCAAACTGAATCTCTTTTCTTCTGCACCAGATGTGTGAGCTTTGCTACCCGCTGGATGAAACCCACAAAACTGAAATTGGTGTGGAAGAAGAGGCCTTGGGGTGAAAGGCCTGAAAAAAGGGGGGAAGAGAGGAAAAAACAAAAAAAAGTCAGTGGTGGAGACTGTCTTGGGTCTTCAGAGACCTTGAGTCCGTTACTGCTGTGCTGGTTTTGGCTGGGGTACTGTTAATTTTCTCCGTAGTAGCTAGTACGGGGCTGTGTTTTGGGCTTGTGCTGAAAACAGTGTTGATAACGCAGGGGTGTTTTCAGTCCTGCTGAGCAGCGCTTACACAGAGCCAAGGCCTTTGCTGCTCCTCACCCCACCAGCGAGTAGGCTGGGGGTGCACAAGGAGTTGGAGAGGACACAGCTGGGACAGCTGACCCCAACTGACCAAAAGGATATTCCATACCGTATGACATCATGCTCAGTAATAAAACTAGGGGGGAGGTTGGGGAGAACGCTGCTCAGGGACTGGCTGGGCATCGTTCAGTTGGTGGTGAGCGATTGTTTTCATTTGGATCACTTGTCTTTCCTGGGTTTTAATTCTCTCCCTCTGTTATTTTCCTTTTCATTACCCTTTATAACTATTATTTTATTTCAATTATTAAACTGTCTTTATCTCAACTCACGAGTTTTCTCACTTTTACCCTCCCAATTCTCCCCCCCATCCCACTGCGGGGCAGCGGGCGACCGGCTGCGCGGTGCTTAGTTGCCGGCTGGAGTTAAACCACGACAACTTTGCCATCACTTTCCTACATACTGCCAGGAAAATCCTGGCGTCTGCCAACAGGAAAATCTTGTTGTGAATTGACTCACAAACACAAGCGGAGCCGAGTCAGATGTAGCTACTACTGCCCCAGCTGCCTCTACCATCCCTCTCCTACAAGCTCCTTCAGGAGCTTGTTCTCACAGCAGAGACTGAATACGAAGCAGCTCCCAAACGACTGCTGGTGTAATGAGGTAACTCCCGATCAACGCTGGTTTCCTTTGCCTTTCTGAGCTACAAACCACAGCGATTCACACGCTGCCTCTGACGTGGCTCGCACAGCCCTGTCGCAAGGGTGGCAAAGCCCCCAGGAAAGGGGCAGGGCCGAGCGGCAGAAGGTAGGAATTGCGTTCGCCATCCAACTCTAATCCGTTTGTGCTGGTGAGTCAACCCACGTGGCCCTTTTGCATCCCCGACTGTGAAACAGGGGTGACAACAACCCAGCTCTGCCTCAGGCGCAGGAACCTGCAAGAATAAGCACATTACCCATTAGGAGGTACTCAGCTGCTTACTACAGGAGCAGAGATCCTATACACATACTAAAAGAGACGAAGAGGAAAAAAATCAAGGACAAAGAAGCTATGCCAGATGGCCTTTCCACTTCTGCCAAGACGTCTGCGCAGAATGACCTCTTTTGGGTGTTTTCGCTTAACGTTATTACAAGTACGTAAGAAATTTGATGTAATCAGGTCTAAAATTCCCAGCGGAAGCACGATTGTCCAGGAGAATTCAACCGATGCCTGAGTTACTTGACTACACTTACCCATCTGTAAATATTTCTCAGTCTTCGGCTCCAAAAAAAATATTCTCTGAAGCACTGCATCTACCTAAGAATTCAGAAACTAAGCCAGCCCTAAAATTTAACCATGAAGAATATTTTTAACATTCTGTCTTCGCTACAGACTGTTTATTGAACTCTCTGACAGAGCGGTTAAAATCCTGCTAGAGTTGGGGTTGTTAAACAAAAGTACGAGTATGCTACTGTGCAGGGAATTACACGTTCACTGTTAGGGGTAGAAGCAGGTGACATTTTACGGACAATTTGTCCAAGAAAATGTAGATAAAAAAGCGAATGCATTCATGCAAATTGCTTGTATAAAAATCCTCCTCAAAACCTCCCAAAAGTCAAAATACCTCCATTTAAAGCAGCTCCTAAAATACAAATGAGACCGTTTTAGTAGTATTTCTTAGCGTTGCACGTTAAGTCTTTTGAAACCGAGCATGACAACTGTCCCTACCTCCTGCCTTTGCTTCACAGACAAGTCTGGAGTCAAAACCCCAAATCAAAACTCCATTGGGAAGTTGAAAAGTAACCCAGGCAACAAACAACAACAAATATTAAATGCGCATCCAGCTACACCCTCAGCCACGTCTGCAAAGCGCTTATTCTCACTGTCTGCTCTTGGGAGTAAGATATTATCCCTATGTTAGAGATGAGGAACTGAGGCATGATGAAAACAGCCCACAGTCACTGTAGAGGGCAAGGTCAGGACACCCAAATCCCAGGCTGATAACGCTCACCGCAAAGCCTTCCTTCTCTTTGATCTGCTCGTTTCTTGAATGGGTATTTCTTTTAAATATCAGGCGTATCTAACGGCTCATTTGAAAGCTGAGCTTGGATGGTCTCTTAAGACTATTTAAAAATTAATGAACAAGAATAATAGATATCAGCTAGCAGAGGGCAAAGCTTCAGTTTGTTTGTATAAACCCTGGCAGCGAGCACCTACTCCCCGCAGTCCAACATCTTGAAGGCCACACGGCAAAAGAATGCACGTCCCTTCGGGATAAGGGCAGCACTCGTGCAGGAAAACAGGCAGAAGACACGCAGGAGGACTGACCTTCATCCCCACACACTAGTTTCTTCACCACACAGGGGATCTCTGTGTAGCCAAAGCCTTTCAGCCGCTCCACCTGCTGAGCTGTGATGGGATGTTCCCACATGGCCGTGTTCATCGCTGGGCAGAAGAGCAGGGGTTTGCTCAGATCCCAAGCACGGATGACACAAGTCTGCAAGAGAAGCCAAGAGGTTCAGCTCCAAGATGAGCTGTCCTTCCTCACCCCTTCTCATCACTTTGCTGCACAGAAGCGCTTTCCCAGCCTGGGTATCATTAGAGGGCAAAAGCCTCAATCCGTCAGCGCAGCCGGACTAACCCACAGACAGATCCACCAGGCTTGCTATTAATTCAGATTACATGCCAGCAAAGCTCATCTCTGACAGGCAAGAAAGATGAGGGATGCTACCAAGAGGATAGATCCCATCCTACTCCGGCTTGGGGCCAAGCAAGCAGCCCAATCGCTGGAGCAAACCAAGCTGGAACATCGTGCATGCAGACTGCCAGCCCATGTGGGAGACCGAGAGAAGCCGAGGGGTGGCCACAGATCGTATCAGCTAAAGAGAAATCCCCAGGCAACGCTTCAGATAAGCCAGCTGTAGAGCTAAACGCAACACGCTGGCAAGCGAGTCTCTTTTGAAATGATATGCCAACTGGATCCGTAACTCCTCGCAAGGGAAGCGCCGCTGCTTCCAGGATACAAACAGAGGATAACACAAACACATTTGGGCTGTTGCAGAAGGTGCTGGCAGATTACAAACCATCTAGCAGCTCCTGCGTGCTATGGGGAATCCTATCTGACTCCTCAGTAACACAGAGCTTCCAGATAACCCAGTATCACCTCTCCTTAAAAAGATAAATGCTGGTTGCTCTTAACGTGACGCTCATCAGTTTTCCTAGGCCTAGCAGCATTTAAATCACGCAAAGGGAGCTTGCCGGGTAGCAACAGGTCCCTGGTGCGGGGTCTCTGCTCAGATCACAGAGTACTTACGAGAACTCTGCCCATCCTTTTTTATGCCCTGTGACTTGAACCCTTCCCAGCACAGGAAAGTCTGCTAGAATCTGTTCTAACTTGCCAACCAGCACCTCCAGCATTTGTTTTCCTTTGCTGGAGCTACCTCTGCCCTCCACGCGGGCTCTCCAAAAAGACTGGCAAGACTTTGTGAAAGCCACGTGTCCCTAACATCCCTCCTGAGCTCTTCCCTCTGCTACCACCATCACACCTATAGTACCAAGGAGACCCAGAAGGACAAGACATGGTTTGTCCCTCCCGCAGCTCCTTTGGGCTCCTCTCCGATCCCCAGCGATCCGCTCCTACAAATGAGGGCTGGTTTTTGTTCATTTATACGCACTCCCTCTTACCTGAACAGCTAAGTTGGTTACATAGAGCTGATGCGCTGCCCTCCGTTTCTAGTTCTAGCCTCCTTGCATTACTGAAGGGTGATGCACCATAGCAACATTGCAGACCCGCAGCTTCCTGGCAGATCTTTTGGGTGGTTAATGCTTACGACTTCTCCTAACGCCTGGGCACAAAGTATTCGGCCCCGCTGAAGTTCCCCGTCACCGAACAGAGAAGCACACTCTCTTTTAATACAATTTCTGATCAGCCTTTGAGCCAGAGAACCTTTGACACCAGAAAAAACAAGCCTGAACAAGCAAAAATCCCCTATAACTGAAACTGGAAGGTAAGTGTGAGCGTGTTTGAATTTCTGTGCTACGTAGTTAGGTGAGGGAGGAGGTGAGGTAGCAGGAAGTAAACAGTTTTATCTGATCTCACAGGTGTCTTTCCAGATCGCATCTAAAAAATGCAGAGAGGAACTCAAAAGCGAGTGCAAGTGTGTATGCGCACGCGCATGTGTGTACACATGCATGACGGAGAGAGGGCGGAGGTGGAAAGAGAGAAATACTGCCCATTGAGAAAAAGCAGGAAAGGTCCAAAGCAGGGACTGGGAAATAACGGAAAAGACTGACAGAGCCGAGGAGTGGAAAGGGATGTAGGTGAGGGAAGGAAAAAACCAACTGTTTGGGAAGGAATAGGGGAACCATACCGGAGGGGGAGAGAGAGACAAGCATGAGAAGGGGGCAGAACATGCAAATCTCACTGTTCTCGATGCTGCAGAAGCATAAGAGTTTCCATGAAAGAAAGGTCAGACAGTCTAATGCTGGGAGGCGCGAGAACTCTCAGGCAGAGCTCTGGTCACTCACCAGCAGGTTGTCACAGATGCCGTTCGCGAGCTTTGCCAGCGTGTTTGCATCAAGAGGTGCCACCAACATGAGGTCAGCCCACCGCCTGAGCTCGATGTGCAGGACCGGGTCCGAACGACCTTTCCACAGCTGTGGATGAGACAAGGCGCAGATTAACGAACGCTCGCAACGAACGCTGCGAACAACTGGCACTTTATCAATCCCACATTAGTAACCACCGTGTAAACTTAAGGGGAGAGAATTACTCTCACACCAAGCGAGATCTGACAGCGTGGGGAATCACAGACTGGAGCCACAGTGCTCACGTTTCTGATTTCCACCTCTTCCAGCGAAGGCCGTGTTGCAGCTACGTTAGGAAGCACAATTAATGGACGGCACCAACGTGCTTGGTGCTCTACAAACGCGTATCCTTTCCCCACAAAGACAACAATTCACACGTCCAACAGCCTCCTCACGTCCTCCTTCACACGTCCTCAATTCACAGGAAAGAGCTTTCTCCGTCCAATTCCCACTCACATCATCCCTCAGCTTCAGAACTGTTCCCAAGAGCTCCCACAACACGTAGCATATCTCAAGGGAGTCCTGGTCTTTTCTTAAGAGGGCAGTTTAACCGGGAAAGTGTCAAGAGAAGCAGCAAACAGCATCAGGTGCTTAATCCCCAGAGGACACAGGCAACCACAGGCCAGGAAGAGGTTCATCAGGGCCACAAACTGTTCCTTCTCTGAGTCACTGGAAACCACAACAAAAAGACAGCATCCGGAAAGCTGGCGCTCCCTGACACCTTTCCCAGCTCCTCCGCTCACTTCTATTTTTCTTTTTTTTCTAGAAGCACTGAACAATGTAGTTTTATTTTCAGAGTAAAATCTCTCAGAAAGAGATGCCGAGCAGATTTATTTCCTACCCTTCTGTCAGAACAGCGTCTTATAAGGGCTCTGTGCCTGCTTTCCAGTGTGCTCAAAGCCTGACCTGCACATCTTCTATCGCCCCACCGAGGGTTCCCCAGAAATAACTGCCTGGAGCTGTCGCACCCCAGGACCCAGTAGATCTCCACCAATCTCCCAGACCAGCCAGAAAGCTTCCGGGCCATTGCCATTAGCTCAGTGAGGCTCACGTGCGAGTGCATTGGCAAGAGTCCTGGTAAACAGTAGATCACCTCATACTCGGATCGGTACTGCAAAGTAGAGATAAAATGTATAGAAAAACAAATGTTGATGTTTATACAATGAACTTGTTCGTACTCAGGGACTCTCAAAGCACGTCGGCAAAACTGTAGTCAAGAGCAAAAGCCACTTTACAGGGTCTAGAGACATTCACAGCCCTGACAATCGAGCTATCCCTTACTGGAACTGTTCTTCTGTGTACGCGCGCAAGTGCAGACGCGGACAAACACCACTTCCACCAGGAGAACCTCTCTAACTCCCAGCCACCTATCACACTGGTGCACGACATCTCCAGGTACTGGCCTTGCTCTGCACCAGGGTGGCCCTACCAGCACAAGGGGACCCAGTCAGACACCAGGCTGAGTTTTAAAGCAGCGTGGGCAGCGCTGTGAATGTCAGCGATGGCTGTAGATTCCGAATACATAGCATTAAGGAGAATTAAGCTGTTGCCTTTGTGACAAGTATGACTCATGACAAGCACCAAACACCCTCACCGCGACTCTGCAGTGGCTTTACTTGACATTTCCTGACGCTCCTTTCAGAGCTGCGGATAGCAGTTGAGCCCAGGGAGGTGACAGACCACTTCTACCTTCATTGCCTGATGCAAATCTGCTAGAGCAGTACAAAATCCTCTGGTACAGTCAGGGCAGCCTTTCTTTTCTTCCTCATTTACAGCACAGTTGCAACCACGTTCTTTGAAAGCAACATTCCAAAGCGTACACTACTAGAACAAAGCAGCGAGTCTTGGCCCCAGATTAAAAAATAAATGAATGTGGTCTTGTGCAAAGAAAGTTAGAGGAACACTTCTATTTGCTGTTCAGCACTTGAACGACTAAGTGAATCTTCCAGGGAGCCTGCTTTTTTTTTTGTCCTCTGAAGCATGACACATTGGCCCTCTGGAAGTAGAAGGCATGAGTGCATGACAGAACTACTTGAATTACAAAACATGTGGCTAGTAGGGACAGAAGTCCCTGCAGTCTCCAGAGGAAGAACAACTCACCTGCCATTCATCTTCATCGCTGTAGAGGGTGACAGGAATCTCCTGGGCACGGTAGAAATGCTTTGCTCGCTCAGTAGTGACCACTTTCACTTCGAGCTAATCAGAAAAGAAAGAGAAATAGTTAGACAAACTTGACAAACTAGGTAGAGGAGGAGGGCTAGAGTGACAAAGATTTTGGCAGCTGTGTGGATTCTCAGAGGACTTTTCCCTACTGTGCACATGTGCGTAACTGCACCTATTCACAGCTGAAAGACCAGGCCACGGGAGCCAAAGACTCAGTTCGTGCCACCCTAAAACGGGAAGGTGATTAGTCATCACGTGCCAAAAACGTTCACGTGGCCAGTTCACAGTAGGGACAGCAGAGAGGACAGAGCAGGTCAGAATGAGATGCAGTTCGACACAGAAGAGACAACAAGAAGCAGCAAACCAAAACTCCGTGAAAGATGCCCTTTAATCTCAAAAGACGCTTGCCAAAGGGAGTAGGGGAGCATCTTGCTTCAGGGGATTCCCTTAATCGCAGCACAGAGGAGTGCTGAGGGGCGTCATGCCTGCACGGCACTTCCCACACTCGGAGCCAAGAGTGCTGAGCGATCAGAAGTCCTGCCGAGGGACTAGCTGGCGCTCAGCACCACCAGCGCAAAGCAAGCCCACCTCTGCTGCACAAGGCTTCACAAGAGAGCGGCTTTGGAAGACAAAGTACGATTTCTTGGTCGAATGGACCATGTTGTGCACCTCTCTCTGTCTCTTTCTGCCCCTGTCTGTCTCTCTCGGTGACCTCCTGGTGACAAAGGTGGGGAGGGAGCACAGCTACGTTTACAGCACAGAGTTTCTCTGCAGCCAGTACAACAAACCAGTGGTTTCCACCAAGGAAAGAGAGCCTGGGTGAAAGTATACAAACGTTCTCTCCAAAACCTTAGATAAACCCGCCTGCCTTGTTGAAAGCTAGCGGAACCTTCAGTTATACCGTGTATACTGGGAAAATCCTGTCGTGTCTCTTGGACGTTTGTTTGACATGCACAGTTACGAGGTGCTAGGAAGCCCTACGACGTGAGAGCCTTTCATTTCCTCCTGCAGAAATCTTAACAAGTGGAAAACGGGGTTTGCCCCTGGTTTCTACGTGTCACACAAGCTGTGGCTCTGACAAATGTTGCAAACAGCTGCCTGCCACACGCAGCGAAGCAGAGATGCTCTGCACACAGCGGGATCAGTCGCAAAGCAGAGCCAGGATGCGCAACCGTACTTCCGTCTGCAATTCCTCCCAAGGATGGGCCTTAAAACCAGGCAGTAGACAGGCCCACGCAAAGAGGGAGCGCTCCAAAAAGCCTGGTAATGTGGAAGATGCACCTCAGGCCACCGATTACAGTGAAAAATAACTCTTTTCCTTGTTATTGGCCATTTTCAACCACTGTCACAGTGCAACAGAGAGATGTGGAGAAACCAGCCTCACCAACAGCTCCTTCCTGCTAGAAAAGTGTGACCCGAGGTACAAAACTGCTGAAGCACTA